ATCGGATCTTTTAATACACGAATATGCAAATACGCGCGTACAATACACGTCATGTGAACCTTATCTACTCTAAGGAATTAGGAATAAGGAATAATGATTTTAACTTATCAGAAAGTGTATTCTGATATATCTGATTTCTGATAGGTCCTTATTAATCCTTATTAGACGTAAAACAAGGATAGAATAAATAACGCTAATAGCATCTTCTCGAGTGCACCTATTTCTAATAGAATTAGAAAGAGATAAGAAGTTGATCCAATGTGCTCCTACTTACTTTAACGAGCACGTTAAAGTAAGTAGATGCTATGGTAGGAGCATGTTAGAACATGTTAGAGCATGCAACGCGAACAAACCTAAGGAATAAGTTAAGGGGATCCTGTTTTACCACGTAAGCACATATAATTTTTGTATAAGAAATACTTTTTTTCTCTTCCATCGATTCAAAAATCCTTTTCCAGGATTAAAGTATACGCATTAATATGTATCTGGATATTGAAGTTTATACCCAGAACAATCAAAAATTTCGAAATTGATATATTTTTTACCATTTCTTAATGTAGCGTCTCAGCTGTCAAGTTGTGACAACATTTGCTTGATATGAAAGCTTTGCAACTTGTATGTACGAAATAGTGATATCTAGATACGTAATTGCACGAACAAACAATGTCGAGTTCTTAGAGTTAGACTTAGACGCTTTATCGCGATGAATTTCTTATGTGAAAATTGACACGTACGTATGACTGCATGTATTATAACTAAGTGAGATATTGCTGTGGTAGTATAAAAAGACTTGTCGATATATAGCGCGCGACGCGATATTTAGTGATTTCATCGGAGTTCGAACTTTGATTTAGGATCCCCTTAAATCTTGATTAAAAATTAGGGAGCGTTTATATTGGTCGTAACTGTATGCCATATAATCTGTAAGAATTGACTAATCACAGTTGAGTATTCCTTTCTTATTCGATTGTAAAAAGGGAATACTCGAAGGTGATTGGTCAATTTTTATAGATTACAGCATACGGCATACGATTACGGCCAATATAAATGTTCCCTAATATGCTACCTAACTGTTATAGTTCTAAGAATTGACCAATCACAGTCAAATATTCTCTTCACATTCGACTTGATTGGTCAATTCTTACAACTACAACCACTTACAACTTACGCTTACGACTATTGTAGAATAGGCTTAATTCCGATTAAGCTAATCGGTCGATTAAATTTTAGTATTGCCAATTGCAAGATTGAAAACATAATCTAATTTTCTGGAAGCTGTGAAAAACGATGTGATAATACTAGCACAGATTCTTATTAATCCCAAATTTCTCAATCACGAAAAAGCCATACGAGTCGAGCACGAATACTCGACCCCGCCAGAAAAGGATGTTTTCAAGTCTTGCAGTTGGCAATATTTAATTAATCAATTAGGTCCATCGAAGTTGGTGAGACCGGCCCATAGCGTTTTCGACTGTACTGGGTTTTAAACCAATGTAGGTTGAAACCAATGTTGAATTGAGTTGGATTAATGCTTTATTTGTTGATATTACATGCACTATCAATAGTACAACTTGCAGTATCATTAATCTAATCCGGATCGGTTCAAAATACAGACTTATATAAATAGATTCTCAATGTGATAAAAAGAGGTGAACCTGTTTCGAGATGTCCTTGTTAGTTCCTATATGCGTATATATGCGTTCTATATGTGAATATCGTGTAAATTTATTCATGTAATTTATACATAGTGAGTGAGAGAGCTCAAATATGATACTGCCCAGCGCTGGCTTCAAACATAAACTGTGGAGGTGAAGTTGGCAGTTTATTTATAGAATCTGTGGTTCAAAACCCGCTACAGTCGAAAATGCTATTAATTGAACTGAAATTAAAGTTAAGCCAGCGGCAATGCTTCTTTCTTACTGAATATATTTCTAATTATATTTGCGTTTTGACTGTACTAGCACTGCACAATAGCAAAACGCAAATCTATCTAGAAATTTGACAGGAAAAAAAAGCATCGTGTGCCGCCAGCTTTAATCTACATTGGTAAAAACGGGCATTACAGCCTCTTTCACCAATTTCGATTAAGAGAATGCTGGAGTCGTCTGTATTATCGATAGACTTATTCCAAATTCGATAGTAGCGATATTATTTATTTTTTATACTTATTATATATCTTTGTGTCTCGCTCGAACGAATTCATCTATCCTTATCTAACATATCGTAACGCTCTCTTAGAAGATCGGACACCTATTGCTAGATATAATTATTGCTTTGTTTATCATTCCGAGTCTTCGCGTTCGTATATATACATCATTCGCAGATCGATATAAATCTTTCTTTTGAAGCTTTTAATTTTAGTTTTATAAACTCAGTATTATTTGTACACGTCATGCGCCGAGTGGTGCACTATCGTGTGGTCCATACGATGAGCTATAAAACTTTTGTATTAAGGAAACATCTACGTCAGGTGACAGCTCTATGAGTTGAAAAAATGTAAGTTTTGAACTTTTTTTCCTATTTTAGTAGTAGTACAAAATATATTGCACCACATCCAAATTTTGTGTTTACTTTAGTCCTGTAAAGATTTTTTATTTAGTTCTGTAAATTCGGAATTTATATCGATCTGCGAAATACCAACAATTTGACCACTCCAGCATCCCCTTAACGTTAATCAATAGTTCAACATCTTGAACTCATTTGGCTATATGAGTAATTCAAAATCTAATTTATCATCCACGCTATATTTTTCTTATTATGCATGAATAGGCTAGAAATTAAGACAGATTTTATAGTTTTACTCTTAGGAATTTTGGTGACAAAATTAATAGGACACTGTCAGGACTGAAAATCTACAATGAGTGCGTTCCGGTATTCACTGTCAGTGCTGAAAATCTATAGCGTACGTATATACTAGGCCCCTATTCTCGAAAAGTATCGTATATGGAAGACTAGGGAAATGCTATAGTATATGTAACGCATACTATAGCATTTCTCTAGTTTTTCGTATGCGATACTTTTCGAGAATAGAAGCCCTGTACAGTTTTAGTACTGGCAGTAAATATTGGAACGCACTCAGTATATGTATGTCGTGAAGTTATAGGGCCGATTTTACACTAGTTAACTTAATCGACCGTTAATTAACCAATCTCATTTGCTGTTTAATAGAATTGACCAATTATGGTTAACAGTTAATCCCAATTAGGGTTAATCGGCATTGGTAAAACCGGCCACGAAAATGGCTGTGTTCAGCGGACTTAACAGTTGAGTGAGCGCTCACTGCTATTGATGTATTCTTTCAAATCTAAAATGCTAATTGGATGATTTAAAAAATACACCAATAACGGCGAGTGCTCACTCAACTGTTGAGTCCGCTAAACGCAGCCAATAAATACCGTCCTAGATTTTCAGTGCTAGCAGTGAATTTTAGAACACAGCTATGGGATTCGATTACTTAGGGTATATCGACAAAAACTTGCATAGTCGCATAAATGTATACATAAAGAAAATTATCCAATCGCATTTCTCCTACAAAGACGCACGTAAAATGTGATTGAATAATTTTCTTTATGCATACGTTTATGCGGCTATGCAAGTTTGTGTGGATATATCCCAATCCGATTAAGTGTGCTGTGTAAACGTGGTCATTGAGCATTCAGTGAACTCTTGTACTTGTTTTATATTTTTAGATTTAATGGAATGTATCAATTAGATGCAAGAACTCACTGAACGCTCAGTGATCGGTTGTAGTACTGAATGCACCCATACGTTGCATTCAGTGAACTTAACAATTTAATAAGCGTTCGCTGTTATTAGTTATTCTTTTAGATCATCCAATCAGAATTTTAATAGCCGCAGCACAAACTTTTGCATAACGCATAATGGACTTTCTACAATAAGCTATTAGTCATAAATTAGAAGTTAGAAGCCAAAAATTGACGACTATGATTAGTCAATTTTTAGCTTCTGATTTCTGATTTATGACTAATGACTTATTGTAGGAAGCTCATAATGTATAGTGCATAAGGGAATTAACCATTCGAAATTCTTCTTTTCTATAAAATGGGAGGAAAGAAAAGATTCTGATTAGTTGATTCGCTTATGTACTATGCATTATGCAAAAGTCTGTGCTGCGGCCTTAAATCTAGAAGAATACATCAATAGCAAGCACTCACGCAACTGTTGAGTCCGCTGAACGCAGCCATTGGCCGAGTTCAAGCAGTAAAGAGGCTAGGCATTCTTACCGAGCGATTGAATATGATTGGTTGGATCTATAATTAATAACCAATTATGCTCATTTGCTCAGCGAGCAGGCTAGTCGCTTTGTCAATTTAAATGCATTCATTGACTGCGGAGTTGTAATTGGTCACATTGTTCTGTTCCGCTGTAAATTTCCACTTTATGGAACGCCAGTCTCAAGCGGGGAACACAGACTCTTTCATAACGCATAACACGTAATGCATAAGAAAATATACCAATCAAAGTCCTAGCTTCGTTTCCTTCTTTTCCATGAAAGAAAGAATTTAATTGGTTGGATTCTTATGCCTTAGGTGTTATGCATTATGCAAAAGTCTGTAATAAAGTAAAAATTACAAAAATGAGAAACTCACTAGATGTTAATCAATGAAGTTATAAATATTCTAGTAAATTCGATCACTTTCGTAATTTTCACTTTACGTTATACATTCTTCGAATAACCATTAGTCATAATGCAAGAATATTTAGAAAGGAATTCGCGTGTCTTGAATATACCTCGATACTTCTGCAAATTCAGATGTTTAGGCATTAATGACGCCGTATTATATATATATATATATGATATATGTACATATATGCATATACATATATACATGCATATACACATAGTATTACTTCCACCATACATATACATATACATGCGCATACACATCATATAAAAAAATTTTCATTTTTTACATTTCCGTTCTAGGGAAAAAGTTCTATGATTCGATCCCAGATGACGTCACCGAAGGAATTGTGTTGTAGAAAGTCATGAAACGCGCCCAAACGCGCCGCACTCGACTGGGCGTGTTTATTCTTAGTGGTTCGAATCTTCGATACAATTGTTGGATTCGGATATTCTTACGAGGTAAGAAAACTCAAAAATCAGTTCTGTTATCAACGTATTGATAAAAATCTACTCACATAATAAAAGAATCTTTCTAATCTAGGGAAACATAAGATTTATTTATACGAATAAGTACTCAAAAGAAATGGAAGAAATACGGTGAGAGCGAAAAAACGAAAATGTATGGCCTATGCTAAAGTGTTCAAAAATCTTCAACAGCGATATTGTAATTCGAATTGAGAGGGGGAGAGAGAGAGAGAAAGTGTACATTTCGAAAATGATTACCATTCTCCAAACAATGACACCAATCATCATCGCTTGCTGGTTCTACTGCCTGTTGGGCGTTGTCGGTCAGTATGAGTGGCAAACTCGCGACTCCTTCGATGAGATCCGTATGCAGATGGATAAGGTGAATGAGGATAATTGCCAAATACAGCATCTCGGCGATTTGTATCTGCCGGATGACTCGGTATCGCATTTGCCTGACATAAAGGACATCAACATCAATCCAGTGTTTCCGAATCGTACAGCTCTGTTACATCTTCATAACATGGCACTCAGCAGAAGCTTCTTCTGGAGTTACATTCTGCAATCACGCTTCATCCGACCAGCGATCAATGATACTTATGATCCTGGCATGATGTACTATTTCTTGTCCACAGTAGCAGATGTTTCTGCTAATCCATACATCAATGCTTCAGCTATCTATTTCTCACCTAATATGTCTTACTCACCTTCCTATAGAGGATTCTTCAATAAAACTTATCCCAGATTTGCACCACGAACTTTCAGAGCAGATGATTTCAATGATCCTATACATTTGGAAAGAATATCTACTAGAAACACATTCACTGTACAGGATTTAGGTTCATTTCCTAGTACCAGACTCAGTGATGATTATACCACTGATTTTTATCGTATAAACGAATGGTAAGTGAAAGTGAACAGTCGAAACTGTTGTATTAAAAAAAATTATCTAGCAAAACTAATTACTTTTATAATGTATATAATTGTCTATAAACTTTTATATTTAAAATAAATTTTATTAATTGATGGATATAGAATCATATATTCTACTTGAATTTATTTATTTACAGGTACAAAAAATGGTTACCAGATAATGTAGGTAAAAGACATGATACTAAAACGACATATCACGTTGAAATTCGTTATGCTAACAATACAAATGAAACATTTAACTTTCATGGTCCACCTGGTAATGAAAAAACTACAGAAGCTACTTTAGAATGTCAAGTTTGTATTTATTTTCATTATTTAATTTTATTATGCAGCTGCTGATGAATATCCTGGACCTGTGCAATGGACTAGACCTTATTTTGATTGTGGCCGATCAAATCGATGGCTTGTAGCTGCGGTATCACCTGTAGCAGATATCTATCCACGGCACACTGGTTTTAGACATATTGAATATCCAAAATACACTGCTGTTTCAGTGATGGAAATGGATTTTGACAGAATAGATATAAATCAATGTCCGAAGGGTAAAGGAAACAGTGGTAACAACAGATTTGCTAATACCGCAAGGTGCAAGACTGATACTACAGAGGTATATATTTAAATCCTATTAAGTTTATTAAGGAACAATGAACTAATACATACATATGTATATGATCTACAGTGTGAACCAATACATGGTTGGGGTTTTAGAAGAGGTGGATATCAATGTAGATGTAAACCAGGTTATAGATTACCGACCGTCGTACGACGATCTTATCTCGGTGAAATAGTGGAAAGAGCCACACAAGAACAATACTATAATGGTTTCGAATGTTCGCGGATTGGCTGTATGCATTAATTTGATTTTATTATTATTTTTTTTAAATTTAAGCACGATATTGCCAAGCACAAGAATTTTTTTAACAAGAATTTTATTCGGCAGGGGTTCATAAAATGCCAGTACAATGGGAGAAAGCAAAACCATATCTCAGAGAAAAATATCTCGAGCAATATCATCATTATAGAAATTATTCAACTGGTTCATCTTCGTTACAGGATACAAAATTGAACATTGACCAAGCTCTTAAATTCATTTTGGGTATGAACAAGGACACTTGCAAGAAGTATGTTATCCTGGTAACACATTATACATTTCCTATTATTGAGATATTCGAATTTGCGTAATTTCCAAATTATAATTTCAGTAAAACGTTACCAGAGTTAATGTTACGTGGAGACATTAGTTTTGGTGCAGAAGAGTTTTTCGAAAATGAAGCGAAAATGGCGACCAGATTAGCAAACTTTATCAGTGCATTTCTACAAGTATCAGATCCCTTGGAAGTTTACTCTGGCAAGAGAGTAGCCGACAGACCGCTAACAGAAGATCAAATGATAGGGGAGACACTAGCCTTGGTGCTTGGTGATACAAAGATATGGACAGCTGGCACTTTCTGGGATCGTAATAAATTTACCAACAGAACATTCTTTGCCCCATATGCTTACAAGACACAGTTAAATACGCGCAACTTTAAACTCGAAGATTTAGCTAGACTCAATAAAACAGGTAAAATAAAATAAGATGATATCTGAATATGGTCTAATTAAGACCACAAGACAAGAAACGTTTATATTTTATTGTTCTTTGTATTTTTAATAAAATTGATTATTGTTCACTGCCAACATCTTGCGTAGTACCCTTTATAATATTGTTTTAAAATAAAATAATTTATTTAACAAGCTGAAATATAATTTAAATTGAAACGTATTTATTATATAAATATATTTTGAATCAAATTCTTTTAACTAAATTTATTTCATTAGAGTGAATTTATGTATAAATGCATGTAAATATAATTAATTTCGGTTCATTATTATGTTCGTTGATTTAATCTAATACAATTTATATGATTACAGATGAAATATACACGAAAAAAAGTTATTTTCAAACATTGAAGCAACGTTGGGCAACAAATTTTGATCAATTGGAGAAATATTATATGAAGATAAAAATTCGATTTAATGAAACAGGAGAACACCTGAAAAAGTACGAGCATTATCCAAATTATTACAGGTAAAAGAAAGTCATTTGTTAGTGCAAAATTCGCGTGATTGTATTTTGTTGATGTGCTTCAAAGTGATCATAAAGCAGTGGAGCATTAAAGTATAAAAGGATTACGTTCTCGAAAGCTTGGGGGGAATCCAATCTCTAAAGTACAATTTATTCTAATGTATGGGAATGCGGCGAATGGACTGTCTGTGTAGGGCAGCAAACCTGGATCATGGACATTGGACAACTCCATACTTCGATTGTAACGGTACGAATAAGTGGGTAATTACCTATGCATCCCCATTTTTCGGCTGGGACAGCTTGAAGGTGAAACTGGAATTCAAGTAAGTGTTCTCATCGGAATGTAATCACACATAATAGGAATGAGTGCACTGTAATGTATGTATTTATGTATGTTGTGTGTATATATATGTATATATATATATATATATATATATATATATATA